GTATTGTCCAAGGTTAGATTTTGAATTAATTATACATATTTTTGAAGATTTCATTTTCTCAAACAAAAGAATTCAGTTTGCAATTGATATTGAGAGGATTGATTGACTACATATATATAGAACTTTAGTCTTATGAAATTACAAAAAAGACTGAATACTGAACTAAGACACATTCGAATTCAATCCCTTTTTCTTTCGAATTATATAGAGAAGGATGAATGAACTATAGTATCACTAGATGTCGAAGTTATAAAATGTTTTATATGCATTATAGAACATACATTGTTTATGATGAAACTGATCTTTTTTCGTTCAAATCAAAAAAAGCCTTGATAGAAATGTTTCATATAAAGTCCAAATTATATCTTAACTGTCATGTCTCACTTGGTATACAACTTGACTGTCGCTTCATCTGTTATTAGAGTTTCACACATATTTGAGACGTGAACGCTTCTATGTGTAAATCTCTATTGACCATCCTTCAGCTACAAGTAGCTGAACTACAGCCAACGGATCTAGTCTTTCTATAAAAGATTTCCAATATAAATAAACATTCAAGATCGCTTTGATATAATTGCGATTACTTCTTTCGAAAAAATCTAATATTTACATTTTAAACATCGCTTTTCTAACATACATTATATTTAAAAAGAAATATTGTAGCCCACTTCTAAGCATTAGAAGCTTAAATCGACTTGAATCTTTTTAAAAATTTAAAGAAATATATTAAAAAAAATATTCTGTATGCAACTCATTTTTTGAAAAAAAAATCTTCATTTTTTGTTTATAGTTGAAAATGAAAGTCATTGTGATTTTAAAAAATTACGTGAAAGTCTTATTGAAAAGAATATGCTCGATTTAATTGAAACAACACATTCAAAACATTATGAAATATTTCGACGTAATCGTTTAACTGAACTTGGTCTTAATGATAATATTGACGGTAAACCATTATCAATAAGTGATACACTTGATATGAAACGTAATGAACTTCGTCAAGAACTTGAAAAACGTGAACAACAACTTAAAGAGGCATTTATTCAAAAAGTTAAAGATAAAGAAATTGAATTAAAAGAAGCAGAAAAACAAGTAAGAAAAATTAAATTATTATTATTTTTTTTTCGTGCAATACTTTTAATGCTTATTATTTAAGATCAATGAACAATTAACAAATATTAAAAAACAATATAAAGATCAAAAAGATAAATGTGATGAAAAATGGCGTATACTCGAACAAGAAATGAATATATTTGAACAACGTAAACGTGTTAATGTTGGTACAATTAAAAAAGGCACAAAAAAGAAATAACAAATTCTTTTTACAATTTATGTTTTTTTTTCTTGCGGATATATTATATGCATATGCACTTCTTTTTTGTTTCCACAGATTTATTCCATTGATCATTCGAGAACAAATATATCAGATAGAGTTGCATACAAGCTTATTTCGATATAAATGATAATAAATTATCTCACGCTATTATTATTTTTTAGAAAAAAAAACACTTTATTTGTATGTTTTGTGGTGTTTTCTTATTCATGTATAATTAAAACTCATTTTTATATATGTGTATGTTTTCCGTTTTTCAATCTGTAACAAGATTATCAGCACTTTTCTTGCTATTTCAAATATTATTTCATTAATAAATACTCATTAATAAAGTTCTTATCTATTTATGATTCAGAGAGAAAGCCTTGACTTTTACGTGTGAAAGGTGAAACATTTAAATAATAGAAAAAGAAAAGAATGAAATATGTATTTTAAATGAAAGAAGTTCGAGAACTAAAATTTGCGAAGAATGTTAATCAAGTGATAACAAATAATAATAGAAATTATGTATAAAGATCAGTGTTCTAGACCGATGATTACCTCATCCCGACACTCTTTAATGTCCTTATCCTGTAGTGTGCCTTACTATCAATCAGACAGATTAGTTAAGCGCATCATTGATTGGGATAAGAATCGACGTGTAGTGTGCAAAGAAAACTATATATATATTATAATATTAACTTAGGAACCAATATTTTTTTGATGTTCTCTGTCAGTTAGACTAAATAACGTATAGGATGTCATCGACCTGAAAAAGATCCATATTTTTAAGTGAAAATGAAGTTTTTCTACAAATAAAAGCACTTCATTCACTAATTACTTTGACCATATATTAATCTGTTTGGCTCTTGAAACAAAGTGCTGGACGTGGATCAAGAGTTTTGTAGATCGTGTCGACACATTGAAGAAAAGATAATAAAAGATCACTACTTGAAAAAAATTGATCAGCAAAAATACTTTTTCTCCAGGTCAATCTGTAAAAACGAAAAATTGTGATCCTCCTCTTTGATTATATCTGACTTATAATTTATAGAGAAAGTTAACACACTGTTTTAACAAGTTATAAATGAATTTTATCGATGTCTAAATTGTATTCATGATGAAGATGCGTTACTCATCTATTTATGTCGAATATTCGATACAAAATTTTCATCTTTTTTTTTTTTTTTATTACAGATCAATTCTCAAAGCAAATACCTTAGCTATTGTATTAGTTATCCTTGACATTTAAGATAGAAAGAACCTAACATTAGAGAATAACAAAATCAGAGAAGCATTAGTTGTTAAGTTTGATATGATATTTAACATAATGATTATTATTCAATGTATTATAAAATAACTGACAACGAGAATCATATGTGAAAGATATCGTTATCAAACATTTTATGGGAGAATCCATTATGTGTTTAACCTTTAATCAATGTGCATTGCTGCTCTAATTGACTGTCTCTTACACAATCACCGGTGAATCACCTAAAAGTGGCAAAATCCTTGGTGAATCTCAAAGTGACTGATAGTTTCCTAAAAAATTCTTAGCGAGTTTTTTTTCTAGCAATGTTATTCCACAACGTGGATAAACATTTTAAGTACAATCAAATAATTCCTTATAGAAACATTGGACTGTTAAAAAAACAAAATAGGAATTCAAGAATAAATAGTAGATGATCTGACTTTAAAGCTGAAAAATTACAAAATAGATTATATTTTGTTTACTTAGATCAATCTCAACAACAGCTGCAACGGTAAATATTATTTGAAAACCAATTATAGAAAATATTCCAAAAGTTTTGATCACTTAACAAAAGCATATAGCTCCAATACTGAACAAGCCTAATCAAAAAACTTGTTTTTATTTGAAACACAAAACTACTAAGTTTTATTCTTAGAGATCGACTGTTATTGTCGAAATTTACTCGAATTTCTATCGTTGTCATGACCGTGAGATCATTCAGATCTTCTGTTATTACTTTTCTGTTATATGTTGGTCATCTTTTGAAAGGACTGAATCGTTAGCACTTTTCCCAAGGGAGGAAAAGCGAACTTCAAGTACGTCAAAGTACTTTAAAATTACAGAAAAGTACTTCCAGCTACTTTAAAGTAACTCGAAGTACTTCCAAGTGGCTAAAATTAACTTCAAGTATCAAGTCAGCTTTTTTCTCTTGGCTTTTCCTCCAAAACTTTACTAATCGTGGAAACGAGTTCTTTAGACCACTTTATAAATAATCTGTTATTAAAATTGCCTATTTTCTTTCTTTTCTTCAAAATGTATCAAAAATAGTGTTTATAAAGTCAGACTGAAAAATCTGAAGGATTTCACAGATACATTAATGATAGTAATTCGAGTCAATTTTGGAAAAAACAGTGCATATAGTTTTTGGCAGCAAACAAAAGCCAAATTTTTGTATTGTAGTCAAAAGTACTATTGTTTCTACAGTGTTAATGAACTTAATCTTTAAAAATAAAAACTTTTAGTGAAAGTTGACTAGAGCTGATAACCTTCTTCAAGCATATTAAGCATTGATTTTATTTATCGTAATAATAGTTGTAGCCAACGACATCTATGTAACCAAAAAATACTACTCAAATATAAAATTGTTTTTCTACGAAATAAATACTTTTTCATTAACACATCTAATCCAATCATTTATTTATTTTTGTATATGAACATGTTAAGAGCATTAACTTGGTATATTCTTCTTAATGATAAATATTGAAAATTATCTGTAGACTAAAGTTGACTTTTTTCTTGGTTATTATACGTTTGTTAGTTACAAAGCTCCTTACATGATTATTTTAATTGTAAACGACAATTAAATAAATAGTCTAAAGATTGTAAACACTATTTAGTCAGACACAACAGTTACACTAGTCATATTCATCGACTGTTGTCATGAATAGTGTTCTTCGTAGAACAATAATATCATCATTCTATCGAGAAAGACAATCTTTATCATTGTATTATATATTCTTTAAATCAATATTAAATAAAACTTTCATATGCAATAGTCTTGATAATTAGTATTTGAAAAAGATCTTTAAGTTTATTTATATTTCTTTCTTTTACTTTCTCGTTCAAACTCGACAGCTTCACTTCTTTTTCTTTCTCTATCCAAATAGGTTTTGACCGTTGGAGAGTGTGTTGCGGTCGAGCATTTATTTCATATCGACGAAGACGACGAACACATTGTTTGGTCGTTCGTTTTTTTTTCTCTTCTCTTTCTTGCGCTGAAAGAAGCAAAAAAGTCCCCATATCATTTCAGTCCGACCGTTTGACTGCTTGGAAGAAAGAAAAAGAAAACTGCGCCGTCATTGCCGTCACGTGATTCACATTCTTTGTTTGACTCGTAGAGAATATTTGCTGCTGCTGACGTGTTCACAATCATTCTATAGACTATTGAATGTAATATACACACGTTATTTTTCGTATAAAATTTCTATATCGGTTGATGATGATAATTAATGTGATTGAAATGGATATTTATTATTCCATCATATGAGTAACATTCACAATGCAGTGAACGCTGAAACCGAATTTTCTTCTTTGTTTTTTTTTGTTAGACGACATTTTTTTTGTTAGACGACATTGTTTTTTTTTTGTTAGAGGACATTTTTTTTTTGCTTTAGATCATTTTTTTATTCATTACTATTTTTTTCTCTATTGACTATTACAATGCCAGGTGGCAAAGCTGGTCAGTTGGATTTATTCGTTTCCTATTTAAGTTTAATTGTGAATTATGTTTAGGAAAAGATCATGGTAAAGCTAAAGCTAAAGCTGTTTCACGAAGTGCACGTGCTGGTCTTCAATTTCCTGTTGGTAAGTGGTTTTGCTTTTCATTATTTTTATTTGATTGTATATACTTTAGGTCGTATTCATCGTCATTTAAAATCTCGTACAACATCACACGGTCGTGTTGGTGCCACAGCTGCTGTTTATACTGCTGCCATACTTGAATATTTAACAGCTGAAGTACTTGAACTTGCTGGTAAGAATTGCAGGGAAAAAAAAGTTCATTATGTTTTTTTTTTTTATCTAGGTAATGCATCAAAGGATCTTAAAGTAAAACGTATTAATCCACGTCATTTACAATTGGCTATCCGTGGTGATGAAGAATTAGATACATTAATCAAGGCTACAATTGCTGGTGGTGGTGTTATTCCACATATTCATAAAGTATGTTTTGTTTTTATTTGGATGGTTGATATCGGAGATTTATTTTTTGTTTGTTTTAGTCACTTATTGGTAAGAAAACACCAGTTCAAGGTAATTTACCTCAAGCACCAGCTAAACCAGTCGTGCAATAAAATATAAAATATTTAATTTGCCAAAGAAAAGCACCGCTCTCATTTTTCATTATTAATATCTAGTTTTTTTTTCTTTTTGTTCTTGTCATTATTTGTTAGCTAATGAAGATCGACCTAGAGAATTAAACATTTGTATAGATCTTTTGTCAAGTTTTTTCTTTTTTTCTTCGTTGTTTGTTGTATATTACTTATCATTGCATCAATGATAAGTTATTCTTCTTGATTTCTATTGCTGTGGATTTATGTATGAGCGTGTTTATGTCTTTAAAAAGATGTATATTCTCTCTCTCTCTTCGCTTTATGTCACTTGCGTTTATGTGTGTAGTTCTCATAAGAAACATGAAAATAAATTGAAATAAAATTATATGATTTATTTTATCGACAAGAGATAATGATACACATTTTGAAAGATATTAAAAGAAAAATATTAATAGTATCAGTGTATTCTTCGGGTATATGCAAAAATAATGTTGTAGGAATTTCTAGAACATGTTGTAGAAGATGATATTTTTCCTTGTTCAGGATGTAGTTCTTTGTGGATTGTTTATGTCAACTATGATCAGTGTTGGTTGCTCGATTCTAGCCTGTAGTCAAAGTGCATGAAATACAAAAGAAAGATTTTGGAATTGATCGAAAATTAGCAATTATTAGTTTTTTTTTTGCATTAGACAGGTGACAATTATTTGGTTCATACTAGTTGTGATCAGTTTAGAACGCTCTGTTTGAATCTATTGTTAAATTTTGTCTAATGTAAAACACAGATTTCAAAGTCAGTTGGAATTGTTCGAAAAAATTAAAAATGAGAATTTTCGATCGATTCTGAGATCTTTGTTTTGTATTTCATGAATTGCACCTGTAGCTTCCAGCAGAGAAAGAAAAATTAATTATGACTGATAGAAACAATCGACAAGGGACTCGATTCTTAATAAAGAAAAGATGTTATCTTTGACATTATATTCTAAGAATTAATGTATTCCTAAAAAATATGATCAATTATTTTTATTCTAAGACGTGTTTGATAACTAAAATAACAATCAATTTTAAGAATGTCATAAAGTTAGAAAATCTTGCGACAAGTGTATCCTTATTTTGATTTTTTATAAAATTATTTTATTTTTTTATTTTAAAATTTAATATGGTTACAGAGAAGAAGACCATGTTTTGGTTTATTCAAGTTCGTCCGAGTGCACTTAGTATTCGATTGTAGCTGCGGTGCCAGAAACTTTTTCTTTGGTTTTACTCAGTTCTTTCTTTTGTCAACAATGTAAAAATAATAATGCAAAGTTTTCTCCGGTGAAACATTCCTGCTGAAGAGCTGACCAACTTTATTATGGACAGTAATGACTAGACGATTCACGAACTTCAGTCACTGTCTGTCTCTCTGGTTACATGCTTGTATCCTTCTCATCATGTGCATAATCATTTCCACGAGTCTCGTTTCAAATAAAAGTTGTATTGGTAATTAGATGCCACCGCCACGTATATTAGTGAATGCTAAAGCGCCTGAAAAAATCCTTTTCATGGCAGCTACGGAGGCACCTAGTCTACTTTTTTTTCGTAAAAAAATAAGAAAACATTACAAAAATTCAAAAAACATTCGGTTGGCTCAGCCCATGTGTATGTAGTGCCATCACTAATCAATTCGAATATGAAGAATTTGATCGAAAAAAGTCGTTGAACGGATTCTCATTATTTGTGATCAATTAGAATTAAGCACAATATTTTTTTTTCAATGAATGTCTATATCTTTATAGGTTTCGTTTATATGACAGTCTTTGCATTGTAACAAATACTATTGGCGGTTATTTGACTTTATTTTTATTACTGAAGAATAAGGTATATGTGATGGAAATTATCGCAAGTTATAATATAACAATTGCGTCCAAATATCTCTTAGTTATACATTAAGCAACATCAAGTTTATCAATTAAACCACTGGACTAACTATTTTTTCAAATGATTTATGATTTTGTTTTAATTATTTTTTTAACATTATAATTCACACCATCTTGAGGTCTATTCGGTTCCTTGAACAATTATAATTATGAAATAAATTTTTCTTCTGATTTACACGTTACTAATGAATAATGTCATAACCACGATAGTGGTTGTGTAAGAATGCTTAGTTTTCTCTTATTATAAAATAAGTTGAAGAAGGATTAAGGCGTATTTATTTCTCTAGATTACGAATATTAAGATTTATTTTAATTGGATTTATCATAAAACTTTGTGAATATACTTCTGAAGTTCTAATTGTTCGATTTTTGCTTTCGTCTTTTACAAATGTAATGGTACAAGATTTATTGAAATTTGTAACCAATCTTTGTTTATATTATTTGTAATTTAGATTTAATAAAATTCTTGATCATAGTACATAACTTTCTCGAAGAAAAAATTTGTATACGATTAGTTCATTGATAAAAAGCTATAAAGTACCAACAAAAATACTTAATTGTGTTAAATTACGTAAAATAAAATGACAAGATGATTTAGTTTCAATTGAATTAGATACTTCGTTTACATCCGATGAATGTTATGAAATCGCTCATAATACTATGAAGACAATATATGGACACATGCCTAATAAATATGATATTCAAATACGAAATACTTCGCCATTAGTCATTATAGATGATCGATTTGTTCGAATAGTATGACGACGTTTGAACTTTAGTAAAATATTACCAAAATTAATTCAGAGTGTAAAACTATCAGGCTCTAATGTTCAAGGTGAATGTAAAATGAATAGTGTTAAGTCAGCAATACGATTAAATAAATCTAAAAACAAATCATTTTCTTTAATTATTTATTTGTAAACGATAATTATACAAATGCTGAAACCAAATAATATTTTCCAAAAATAAAACTAAAATCTCATATATAAGCATTAACAATGACATAGGAAGTCAAGGCTTATGATAGATTAGAAAACTTCTTATTAATGTATAACATTAAAACTAAAGAAGAGATTATTTCGTTCTTTTAACACACCATCTATTACATGAAGCAATGCCACCAAGTCGAACATTAGTTCGTTTTTCTTCTCCAATTTTTTTTTTCCATCAACACATTATTCAATGCTGTCGTGCTGCAGCTGTTTATGTTTTTTTCTAATTAGAACAGGCACTAGATTTAACAACAATATACCATTCAATATCATTGATACGCTGATGAAGTATGCAAAATGGAAAATTATTAGCAGACGTATTCTATAATGGAAATTGCTTTGAATCTTTTTATTGAGTAAAACAGAAAAATAAAAGAGAACTAATAATTGATTTAAATTATTATGTTAATCGTACTTATATGACAAATCGTCATTAATCTTAATTTATTGGACATGATCTTTTGTAAAATTTTCATTGTACAATAACATCAAATTCTGATATAAAAAAGAATGATTGTTCAGAACAACAATCAATATGAATTAAGCATTCATGATTATCAACGAATGATTGCTTTGAATGATAGACCTGAAAAACTTGTTGATATCGATAATGATTATGAAACTTTGATAGAATGTGTCAAAGATAATGTATTAGATTATCATGAGTAATTAATTAAACAAATCGATCAGGATTCTGATGCAAGTATTTGTTGAATGGTATCTATGCAGAAAATCTTACCGCTGAAAATGTTTGCCTTTGCCGTATTGGTTCAAGATGTGCTTTGAATGAAATTGAGAATTTAATTTGTATATACAATCATCTTGTATTCAATTTTAATGTATATGAATTTGACTATTGAACCACTACTATATTGGGTGAGTGGATTTTTTCGACTAGGACATTCACCGACGACAAAATTCCAGAAGTATTTGGTGGAGATTTCAAAACTTCACCAAATAATTTTGATCCTTTTTCACTTTGATATTGTTCTGTTCGAACATTAAAATGCTCAGTGTCGAAAGCTTATCGTGTAAATATTAAAAAAATAGTTGAAAAAAAAAAGAACTCAATCATACCTTCTATCAATGAGGAATTTCCAGCTATTCATGTTAAAGAACTTTCATTTGTTAATTGTATGTATTTGTCTCATGGTCATTTAACTGTTTTTCAAAACACTTATCATGATTTTATTTAAGATACACACGATGGAATTACAAGTTTTTGATTTTCTTTAGAAATATTTTATGTTTAATACAAATTTAATAGCATATTTTTTAGTCGCGACAAAATAGAAACGTTCGAAAAGTTTTTGAAACTATTGATTATTCAGATATTAAGATGTAGTTTTTAGATAATACTAATACATAATATTAAAATTTTGCTATTAAATAACTAGTGAGTTTATATTGAGTGTAGATATGATTTCTGCAAATTGATTACTCAATTGAGTGCAAGTATTAAGGATATAATCTAAAATGAATGAAATAGAATTCAGTGTGAAAATATAGCATAATCTGAAAGGATTTATTCGAATGAAGTTTGTGTCCGACTTTGTATGAAATTTCATTGTGGATACTAATATATATGATAGTAAAATTTTCTGTATAGAAGAAATTGCAGATCTTCTCATATTGATGATTGATCTGTTCATTTAGATAGTCTTCAGTGCACTTGATATGATCTGTCATGTGAAAAACTAGATAAATTACTTACATAATCTCTTATTTAAGGAGAAAATATTTCAATCTATTGGATACTCTAGCAAGCCAGAGATTAGCAATTTTAAATTTTTGACTAAAGGCAACGCGAATTCACGTCTTGAGATTGTATGCTAGGATTAGTTTTGTATAAATATGATGTGTTAATTATCCAATGAAATGATACACATAAGTATTTATGTTTATGCTATTTGCCAGGTCAAGATGAACTGTGCTTGCTTCCTACATTCACTTGTGAATATACGTCGGTGAAGCTAACACTAGATTCGATTAATTCCTATCCATATCTACTTAGGAAGCGTTTTAGGTGTTCTCATTTGTGTTTCAAGTAGAATTCAGTGTGTTATATCAAATGGTGAAATAAGATTGACGACATCAAAATCACTAGTTCATAATTTCAGAAACATCGGTTTTTCTTCGTGGGTCCTAGGAAACCCGAGTAGTAATTCGAGCCCAAATTCACCAAGGAAGCATCCCATGTGTCCTCATTTGTGTCACAAGATGAGTCCGAAATGATCTTTCGAATGACGAAATCGGATTGACGATATCTCGAACCATTCATTTAGAAGTCGAAAAAAACGCATTTTGCCCGGTGAACCATAGGGAATCCAAGTAGTAGACCCTGCTCGCATAGAACCAGAAACTGTTCCAGGAATTCTCGATTGTGCTCCAAGGATAATCGTACATGCTCTATCTAATAACACCTAGAAAATAACCTTGAACACATGGTGAGAAAATCGGTGTACGGAGTACTTTCGGAGTTCCCTATAGCTTGAAGGGAGAAAACAGGATTTGTCAACTTGTAAAGTAACGGTAGGAGATACCACAAATCTGATCTCACCGTTTCATGGAGCATGTCGCATTCTACGTAGAACACAAATGAGATTGTATGGAACGCATCCTGAGCGAACATGGTCAGGAATTATTCGAATCCGGTGCTTACTTCACTTTACTTGTGAATATCGGTTTTTCTTACAGTTTAAATAGGTTTCAGCAGTTATCGTTACTTTCAAAATTAGTGTCTTTTGCATTTTCTCGAAATAAGGATATTTTTCATTTTCAGCTATTCAATCTTCGTTAAACAATCCTGTCGAATTTCGTGACTCATTGTGAATGGAAATGCCATATAAATAGTTTTGTAGAGCAGCTCGCGCCGTGTCGGATGCTATGTAGCAAATTGCATTTTTATCAACCCTGTACGATTTGTGGAACACTATGGTATTCATGGGAGTTGTGTGACTCCAGTATGTTCACTTATCAACTTATGAAAAGCTCTTGCTAAATATCCTTTCTATAGAATTTAGATTGCTCTACAACTTCGTATATTTCATAGCTCTTGTCACTTCTTTCTTCCTACCGAAAGGTAATCATCTTAGTCATTGCTCCTTAGTTTTTTATTTTGGAAATCTGCATGTAATCGATATTGCACCTCATCATATACGTGACCAACCAGCAAACTTGCACAGAAATTGCGTGTCATCCAGCATTATAAATTTTGTATTCTATTGGCTTTTGAATTAGATAGCGACATGATCAGATTTATACATCAGTATTTACAGAATACTCATTTTTTGACCTAAAACCATATGGCGGTACCGCTGTTCTCTTATACTAACCTTTTCACTAGGAAAATTTTTGTTCAGTTAAAATTAGGACTTGATTCTTTACCGTTTGATATAGATAGCTCTTTCGAAATCGACAAAACAGTTTTGATCCTCTTCACTCTTGAAAGGCGGTACAGGAATCCGAAAAACTTCACTTTTTAACAGGACACTCGATATTGCTTGGATTTATTAGATTTCCATTCTCCGATGTAATCTAACCACTTAGAAATCTGAAATCACATGAATTATAGGAAAATAGAAGCCGCAATTCTTTGGAATAATTCCTGTATTCTCCTCTAAGAGTCAAGGGAGCCAAAAGATTTTTTATCTATTTCGAAATAGCTATCTATACCAAACGATAAAGGATCGAGCCCTAATTTTGACTGAACAAAAATTTTCCTAGTGAAAAGTTCAGTATAAGAGAACAGCAGTACCACCATATGGCTTTAAGTCAAAAAATGAGTATTTTGTGGATATTGATGTATGGGTTTGTTCATGCCACCATCCAATTCAAAAGCCAATAGAATACAAAAGTTATGATGCTGGATGACAAGGATTTTGTATGAAAGTTCGCTGGTTGATCATCTATCCGATAAGGTGCTGCAGTATCGATCACATTCATGTTTCCAAAATAGAAAACTGAGGAGCAATAACTAAGATGATTACCTTTTGATACGGAGAAAGAAGTGACAAGAGCTATAAAATTTACGATGTTGTAGAGCAATCCAAGTTCTATAGAAAGGATATTTAGAAAGAGCTTTTCATAAGTTGATAAGTGAATATACTGGAGTCACAACTCCCCTAAGTGTCATAAAGTTCTACAACCCGTATATGATTAATCAAAACATGAAGGCTTGACGAAAACGCAATTTCCTATATAGCGTTCGACACGGTGCGAGCTGCTCTACAAAATTATTTATATAGCATTTCCATTCGAAATGAGTCACGAAATTCGACAGAGTCTTTTTGTCTTCTTTTTATTGAAGTTTACTTCATGCGACTCTGTTTAAATTATGCGAGACGCAAATGACAGTTATCTTTGAAAGTACCGGTATGTGTTCATTCGTACTGAAAGGGTTAACAAATATATAAGACAGTGAAAGTTTAACAATATGATAACAGTTTTAGCTATAAATCTTTGAAATTCATATTATTTTGTTGAAAAATACCTTTCATGAATTGGTTAAAATAGTTTAGTTCAAGATCCTATGTATATCTTAGTAAAAATGCGCAATAAATAAATTCAACAGTTTTAAATTTAAAGCAAATAAAGTGTGTCAAATCAACAAAATAGCTATAAAAAGAATGCTTCGTAAAAAAGAAAAAGAAAATAGAAGTAAATACTTGTCAGGTGATACTCATAGAAATGATAAACAGATAAGATATCATGCAAATGTCTTATGCAATTTTTTTTTACAGGAGAAACAGGAGAAGCATACAATAGTATCAAAATAAAAAAATCTTATGGCAACGAGAAGAGTCCAGAGTCCATCTCAAAATTCTACTAGAAAAGTATGTACATTTATCTTTAACTCTTCATATACATACTTTTTTGTATTATAGTCACAAGTATCTCCCCAACGATTTTCAAAGTAAAGAGTGCTATTATTTCTATCGCTTTTTGTTTATTAAATATATTAATAAAAGTGTCAGGGATAGTGTTCCACTTGTTTCATATGGATCTTCAAAACACACATCATGTAACTATTTCTTTGTTAGTTGATCATTGATATTTATGTTATATTTATTTTTTTTTAGTAATTGAATTTAATGATTTATCTGCTGCAAAAAAAGAAACCATTTCTGTAAACACTAATCGTTTTTTTTCTTAAAACTTTATTAACTTTTCTGAATTTACATTTGTGTTTATTCTAGTATGATGGTTATGAATATCAATTGATACCGGTTGAAATTCCAAAAGTTTGATTGTTACATCTTTTCTTTGCAATAAATATTAATGTTCACTTATTTAGGATGCAGAAATAGGTCTTGTTGTTGGTCATATTGAAGGTCAAAGTTGGGTATTTATCGATGAAATTCTGCCAAATGGAATGATCGATATGCATGGTAAATTCAAATGAGAAAAACAAAAAGTTCAGAATTTTCAGGCTAAAAAAGAGGAGACTTTATATGAATATATTCAGATTCTGTTTAAATACTTATTAAATATCTATTTCAACAGTTTAAACTTTGTTCGTAATACTCTTCGATATCAACTGTGTCAACATACACAGTTGAATGTTTTTGTTGTTTTTGAGATGGAAAAATATTTAGATTTTAAGTGACAAAAGTTAATTCATTTATAGGTGTTCTTAAAGAAGGTGATTATTTAATTCAAGTTGGAATTTACAGTCTTACTAACGTTAATATCACAACAGCTTTATTACTCATTGAACGTGCTTATGATGATGGACGAAATGTAAATTTTAATTTATATTCTAATTATTTCATAGATTTATTTTCTTTAGACTTTATCATTTGTTGCTGCTCGTCAAGAAAAATCGAATGTTAAAAAATTACAAGCACAGCAATCACAAAATAAAAAAATACCAGTTCCAGAACAACCACGTAGAGAATCAAGAGCACAATCATTTGTTCAATATGAAAATGAAGAAGTAGAAGAACAAGAACAAGAACAAGAACAAGTACAAGTTAAACCGCGTAATTCAAAACGAAAAGTTGAACCAGATACAACACATTTCTAATATAAAATAAATAAAATTTAATTGATTAAAATGAACATTATTTTTAAGCAATATTAATTCATTTTCAATATTACGCCAATCATAAAGAAGAAAATTTTTGTCAATACCATTCATTACAATTAATAAACCACGAGGAAAATTTTTATTTAATAAACTACTTGTTGCTTCTATACCATCTGTTTTATCAGCACGTGTTTTTATTGATTTTATGTAAGAATTTGCTCCTTGACGTTCATAAATATGAAATATTGATCCATTTTTTATTTGATCAGTTATTATTAAATATCCATTTTTATCAGATGTTGTATATAAAGCAAGTCCTTCCGAATCACCTTGCCATAAATTAGTTGTATTAATAAAACCAATTTGTTCCGTTTGATTTGTTTGTGGATCAACATTATATTTTCGTATACCATAAGATTCATCTGAATAATAAACAAATCCAAGTTGATCATCAACAACAATTGATTCAATTTCTTCTCCTTGAAAATCACCAAAATAACGAATAAATTTCAAGTCAATCGATTGTTCATTCCAAATTAATTCATATTGACCAAGATAGCCATGATTAGGACCTGATTTTCTACTAATAATAGCATAAATTTTTCCATCATTTACTCGTTTATATAATGCAAGACCCATTGGAGCTGCATGATCACCAGAACTATCGATAAATACATTTGTATTTCGTCCCGTTAATTCATATAATTGACGTGTATTAATATCAATTGAAAAAATACGTAAACGTCCTTGTAAACGTTCTGTAAGAACAACTAAATCAATAGAATAAGTTTCATTTATTTTAAAACCATATTCAACATCGACATTATTTGGTCGATCAATATTTTCAATATGTTGAAGAATTTTACCGTCAAGATCAAAAATATATAGACCACCTATTCTAGCTGTTTTATCTGTACAGATAATAAGACTTAATTCCGGTTGATTTGGATGAATCCATATAGCTGGATCGTCAGGATCTGTTTGAACAGATTCAGTTGCAATAGTTTCTTGAATAAACGGTATTAGTTGATTATTATTTAAAGTTTGACCCCAGTAAATATAAGTGCAGAAAAAGAAAAATAATGTTATAAGATAGAGCATAGTATCTTTGCTAAAAGCAATAAATGTTAGTAAAGTACGAAATCAAAAAAACAATAAGAACTTGATATTTAAATATATAAAATAGGATTAAGCTTTTGTCTGAATAAGCTTTTTAGTTTAAGGCGTAAAAAGATTCTATGATTGAAATAGATTACTTATTATTAAAAGCATGATACTCAACTAGTGATACAAATAATATTTACTAAACACCATATCATTGTCTTACTGTTGAAAAATAGCAATTAAGCATTTAATCAGCGAGTCATGGCAAGTCACTGTTTCTCATTCTGTTATTATAAAGGTTTTCCATAGAAGCGCAAATTCATTTTTGTTTGTATATAAAAGACTTTAGAAAATGGAAACAGCAGCTAGACAATAACAAGCTTCATGCGTGTTATATCTTTAAAAAGATCATACTCAGTGACTTCCCAAGTATTTAGATATGTTTGCCAAAAACGTTTATATCGATTTTATTTGACGGAAAAAAGTACCGAATTTCTTAAGAAAAAATTAGAATAAAACTATTGGTGTAATTAATAAGTATTTTTAGAAGAAAAATAATTGTACAATTGAGTAAGCCACTTATCTTAAAATAGAAAATTATATTTAACTAATCGAAGCTTATTCATATGCGTCATAGAATTATTCTTTGTTCGTGCCTTATCTCTGCATAGATATGTTTTTAGAACAATTCTAATTCCAATGCAATTCTTTATTTAGACAAATATTCTAAGAATATTGATTGATTCTGTCATACCAGATAATCTATTTAAATTGTTGTTGTTTAGTAGCAGTATGTTTTACTTATAATATGCTATTATATAGAACTTTATCATCATATAAGTATCAAATGACTTAATTTTCGTTTATTGTACTGTCAAAAATTAAACATTATATATTTGTTTTCAAAGTTTGTGTGTATAAAATAACAAGCATCAATACGATCTATATCATATATATATATATATATACATTGTTTTACACAATAAAAGCCTAACGATAAACATGTAATATATCACTTCTGAAAAATCATAGTTTTTTTTTGCGTTAGAAGTATGGAAAATTATTCACTGTATTACGTGATTTTTATGCTCCGATCAGCTGAAATACACCGTTTTCTTCTAGATAATTATCAAGTGTGATGTCAAGATTATCAAATAAAATGAAAATTTAATATAAAAATGAGTAAAACTTTACACTAGACGGCAAAACACTTTAGATATTCTTAACATACATTAAATCGTTCTAATGCCAGACAAGAATAATATTCATGGTACTTGCCATTGGGCAAAAAAAAAGTTTTAGCTATTCTCCTTGGCATATAATCAATAACAACAACAAAAACAATCTCGATCGAATGTCGTGCCTAACTAGAACACGACAGAATTGATCCTTTCATATCGCAGCAAGAAAGTAAATGCGCAACTTCTATTTCCCATAATATTCTTTTAGAACCAAAACATTACACCAACAAATACAGATCAACCAAGCAGTTGTTCGATTCTTTTTTGGTCTATTCGGAAAGCCTAATTTGACGCGTATTGCCATATGTATATACATCAGCAAAGTACAGAAAAGAAAAAAAGAAAAACGTTGATATATATAGAGAGAGAGAGACAGAAGAAGAAGGGAAAAAGACAGAATGATACATCGATAATTTCCTTCTTTAGATCTACATGGTTGTTCGGTTGTTTTTTGTCTATTGCCATTTCTATACACATTAAAACAATGTCGTCAATGCGTGGTGGTACGAGTAGTTACCAATATCCACAAGGGTCAACAAGATCTAATAGTCAATCAACGGACTATGGATACAATCAAATAAATCAAGATTATTCAATGCCGCAATCTCATCATCTTGAACGACGTGGAACAAATCCTGCATTAACTCTACCAACCGATCGAGCACAATATATTCATCCAGCTACTCAAACTTATTCAATACCATCATCTCTGTATGTCGAACGACGTCCAGTGAATCCTGTACCAATTACACAACCTAATCAACCACAATATATTGAAAAAAATAATCCAAACTTTGGTTATCAAAATGCTCGTGCTGTACAAGCTCAAACAACAAGCATGTATCATAATAAAAATCCTGGCACACCATCACGAAATGTTAATCCAGCATTAAAAGTAAATCCACCTCCACCATCACAATCACAATATGCAACATATGGTAAAGAAAGTCTTTTTGCTAAAAAAGAAACACGTGGAGAAATTGATGATTCACCAATAATTGATCCACGTGCATTTCAATATTTAAATATAAATGAGCCAAAAGTTCAAAAAAAATCACCATCAAATGAAGGTGGCGTTGATACACGACCAATAATTGATCCTCGTGCATTTCAATATTTACATGAGCAAAAAGTTCAAAAGAAGTCAGCAGCGGATGAAAGTGGCATTGATACACGACCAATTATTAATCTTGATGCCGTTGCACAATTAGAAAAACGTCGACAGCAACAAATCGAAAAAAATAATCGATTGCGCGGTGATGACGGGTCAGGATCAGGTATTGATGGTAGACCAATTGTAGATGCAAATGCTTTTCGTTACATCGAAGCTAAGACAAATAAACTTAAAGACAATGAACATCAAGGTCAAGATACGACTGGTGGTATTGATGATAGACCCATTACTAATCTCGATGCATTTAGGTAAGTTAACATTTTTATAGTATAGAAATTATACTTCGAAAAAAATCTTCTTAAGACATTTGGAAGCAAAACGTGAACATAAACCATCAAATACTTTAAATGAATCAGTTATTGATACACGACCAATAATAAATCCTGATGCATTTAAATATTTAGAAAAACGACGAGAAAATACATCAAAAGATAATGATGAAAGTGGTATTGATTCTAAACCCATTGTTAATCCTGATGCGTTTCGTTATTTGGAACAACATGGTCCTCCACCTCGTCGTAATAACGAATCAGGTGTTGATACAACATCAATGGTTAATCCACAAGCATTTCAATATATTGAAAGAAAAGAAGTGCCTAAACCTGAACCAACGGAACCATCTATTGATTATCGGCCTATTGTTAATCCACAAGCATTTAAATGGATTGAACGAAAAGAACCAAAACGTCGTGTTGATGATGGTCCTGATGTTGATGAACGTTCTTATGTTAATCCACAAGCTTTTCAATATATTGATCGTCAACCAGGAAAGAAAAGTGATATATGTGAACCAGAAATCGATACCCGTAGTTTTATACTTGATCGAAATCCAAGTGCTCTTGCTCATCTTGAACGTCAACCAAGACATATAAATGAAAAAACAGAAAGTGGAGTTGATGAACGATCTTTTGTTAATCCAAAGGCATTTAAATATCTTGAAGGTATGGATGATGATTCATCTAAAGCTTCTGTACATTCATCAGCTGGTCCAGCAATTGATACAAAATCTTATGTTAAACCAGATTCATTTCGTCATCTTGAAGTTAAAGAGAGAGAAAGAAAACATGACGATAATGATGACAATACAGGAGTTGATGAAAGTTCTTTTGTATCACCGGCAGCTTTTCGTCATTTAGAATTTACTGATGAACATACAAATCCTGCACCAGCCGATTATGCAACATATGGACAATCAGACTTTTGAAAATTCTTCTTTTTTTTTCTTTAAACTGATTATTGTCCTTTTTTTCCTTATACTGTAAGTTATTTACCTTATGATAATAAATTAAGATTCAATTTTTAAAATTTGACCAAAGGAAAATAGTAATTAATCAAACGATAAAAATTGACATTTCACTTAAATAAATGATCATTATTAAAAATGTTGAGTTTCTGAAAACTAATCAGTATACATCTCATTAGTAGACAATTGTTGTTTCATTCACGTTTGTATTAGATAAAATTATTTCATTTGTCTTTATACTCTTAATGAAACCTTACGTGAAATGAAGATTTTTAATTCAGACATATGTTGGTCGTTAATTTGTATAAATGGAATCGGTTTGATTTAACTAAAAAAAAAAAGAACGTGAATTGATCGTAACTAGAGTTCTCAATGGATGGGCTGAGCCAAAGAAAACCAGCCTACGAGTTATTGACCTTTGACTCGACCGAACTATTGGACCATTCATCTAATTACATTGGACATACTATTAACACATGAATGAACAAGTATATTTGACATGCCAGTAGTTGATGTATAAACAAATGTTCGGTAACATATATGACAACTTGCAAGGCTGTCAATTCTTCCGAATTCATTAATTTTTTCTGATTTTTTAGTTGAAAAGCCAAAAGCTTTTCAACATAAACATGTGTTTATTTTTTATTTTTTTTAATAACAGCATGTCAAAAGAAATTTCATCTGTTCGGGTGCACATTATTTTGTATGTGATGATGAGTCAGGACCAATAGAAAAAGTTATTGATGGTAATGTTAAGATTGTTGATGAACAAGAAGAGCTATGCAAGGACACTTTGTTGAATGTAAAGAAAGTTATTAAGGTGATGACAAATTACTATCTTTTTCTTTATATATTTGCAGCTCATTGCAGAAATATTTCAGTGAATTGGAAGAATTACATGGGGTTTTCAAAAGAAAAAGAATTGAGTAGAAATACGCAACATCTTTTGAAAGTTTTTTTTTTTGACTCATGGATGCTCATCGCAATATCGAATCCCAATCCATGGGACCCCCGAACCCAACTGTGATAATTTAACATCATATTTAATAAAACTACACCGACTTGTGTACTTTTTTTATTACGATGTTTATCATGTAAACAAGAAAAAACGACATTTTATTCATGATAAATCCTGAACTGATTGTCATACCCTGAGAGAGAAAAGCATACATATTCTATCTTTCACAAACATTGCACTGACTATTAGCGACATCATTCTATTTCCTATGAATCTTTTTTACGTTGAACACTAATATCTATTGACATTTTAATCTTCATTTTAAACAACTGATTATTTCTTTCTTTATTCGAATTTAATAATTTCAATATCTGGTCTGTTTCCATATCAACAAACATATAAAATGGTTGTTTCATTTATGACGTACTTCAACTAAACATTCAATTTATATTTTAAAAATCAATTGTAATCTAACTATCTATACATATATATATATATATTGTTTTTCGTTTAGCTTAATTCTTTTAAAATGAGTACTCATAGTGATGAAGATGAAGATCTTTCTCAAGATGATCAGGATCATGATATAGATCAACAAGTTGAAGAAGATTTAGATGGTCAACAACAAAATGCTTTTGTCACAGATGATGCAGATGTTGAATTATCAAATCAACAACAATTAGGAGAATTTGAAGATATCGAACCTATTGAAGCTCAGCCGCCCAATGAAATCGATGTTGATGAACAAGAAAGACAACAATCTGGTACACCTGCTTTTCGTACACTTGAAGAAGTATATCATAAAACCTAAAATATCTTCAGTTTTTTAATATTTTGTTTTCTTTAAAGTTATTTAAAGAAGGAGTTCTTACTGGTACACAAATGGCATTACTTAAATCGAAATATATTGATTTACAAAATGCTTTAACACTGTAACAAAACAAAAAAGAAAGAATACAGATTTATTTTCTTCTCTTTTATTATATAATTTAGATCACGTCAAGCTGAAGCTCGATTACGACAAGAAGAACATACATATTTAGCTCAAATTGAAAAACAAAAACGTATATTAGAAGAAGGTGAATCATTTCCAGATAAAATTACAACTGAAGTTCAACAACGACGAAAAGATTTACTTAAATATAGTAATGATTTAGCATGTACGAATGAACGTTTATTTGATCTTGAATATAAAATAAAAGCGTAAATATTAAACAAAAAAAAAAATTAAAACTTTAATTTATATATAATTGTTTAGTTTGGAAGAAGATAAACGTGCTTTAGAAAAAGAAAAAGCTCGAATACCAAATCAACATGATATTGATGAAAAAATTAAAAATTTAAGTAAAGAATGTGATGAATTAAAACGACAAATTGTACAAAAAAAATCCGAAATTAGTGATCAAAATATTTCATTAGCAGATAAAAGAAAAAAATATAGTGTTACAACGAAACAATATGATGAACTTAAACATACAATTGAAACATTTGAAGTAAATTTCTTTTCTTTCGTTTTCATTTTTCTATTATTTATTTTTTTATTTTAAGTCGGAATACATTCAATCAACATTACGACCAGCTGAATTAATTAAGCAAACAGATAGTCTGTCTCTTCAACGAGAGTAAGTGTTTTTGTTTTTGTTTTAAATCTGAAAATTATTTAGAGAAAAATTATCTATTCTTACAGATTTTAGAAGATTTTTAATTAAAACCTAAGCGTCTGTATAAATTTGCTGATTCGCTGCTATTTAAATTTTAATTGAATACAAAAAAAAATTTAAACTAATTGTTGTTTGTTCTTTTTTCTATTTTAGTCAGACTGAACAAGAAATTGAAGAAATGGATGCACAATTAAAAGAACAAATAAATTCTATTCAACAACTTCGAGATGAAGTTGAAAAACTTAAATCTTTATCATCAAAAGAAATGAGATTAAATGATCAACAAAATCAACAAAATGAAAAATTAACTGAAGAAATAAATAATGTTTTAAATTTAATTGCATTCGAAGAAGCTAAATTAGCCAAAGAACAAATAGACGAGTAAAGTTTAAAGAAAACTTTTTTTTTCTATAAATTTTTCTATGTAGACGTCAATCTACTGAAGCTGTAAAAAGTACCATACAAATGGGTAAACAAATTCGTGAACAACATGCAAAAATACAAAAACAAAAAGAAAGATTATTAAGAGAGTTAAAACGTGCTGAAACACAATTTCGCCATGCTAAAGATGAATTATCAAGTGCGAATATGACAATAGAAAAATTACAACTTAAAGTAAATTTTTATTTAATTGAAAACAATATTCGATTTAAAATAGATATGATTAAAGACAAAATGTACTTTTCACATTTATTTGACATAGCATTGTCTCGTAAAACGAAATTTGAAGAAGGAGGAAGACTAATGTTCTTTATATATACTATTAATACACATTGACTTATTTTAATATTGAATGTTAGATTAACTGCTGACATGTTTAGCATTTTCTTGAGTTCTAGGATATGAGAAATATGAAAAAATGTTTCTTATGACATGTAAATCATCCAATTACAACTAAAGAAAAAGTCATAACCTTGTTATTTAATTTTCTATTGAACATGAAAAAGTACATACTTACGTTACAAAATATTGCATGTCTTAGAATCGTTAGACAGGCGTCTTCATGTATCAACATTAGATGTTTCGAGCGCATGATGAGTCTATTATAATGATAACACTTTTACATTAACGAGAGAACGTTTTCAACTGATCAGTCGCTTTTGAATTCAAGATCAATGCATAAGGCAGACTATAGTGAGATATGAAAAACCTCAAAAGAATATTTCCTTCCACGAAAGATGTTAGAATGTTCTGTTTTTTTAAACTATAATATGTTGGAAAGAAAATATTTTTTTGAGATTTCTTATATCTCACTGAAATCTAACCTATGCGCTGAACCCAAATTTAAGAGCAATTGATCAGTTGAAAACGTTTCCTGGTCAGAGGAGATGGTCACGCTATAAAGCCAGTCGTCGCGCAATAGGTTTATAATATGATCATATTCTTCATTGTTACATTTCACAAAGTTAGAAATTTTCTAAAACAAGCTCTTTGAGGTATCAGAAGTGAATATGTGAAACAGGATAGAGGTTTTTCAAAATTTATATACCAAAGGAATTTTAATTTCTTTATCTTATTTTAACCAAATCAGCTGATTCTTTTGTTTTCGTGATAGAGGAGAGATCATAGTTTTTACTCTTATGACAAGAATTTAAAATTCATGTTCATAGCAATCATTCTTGACTGCGATTCAAAAGGCTTTTGAGTTCATACTCTGACGATTACGAGAGGATCACTACACTAGAACAGCTTCCAAAAGCTTCATGTTCTTGTGACGTATTAATTGCGCTATTAAATTTCTACTGAATATACTTCCATAGAATTCAAGTCTATAGAAGCTTAATTCCGTTTCTCACTTCAATAGAACTTCACATTTTCAATAAAATTTCATGATCGAATTCTGTCTTGAATTCTAACCCGCACAAAGCTCACCCTTCGACTTATGTATGTAGAAAATTTCAAGATCTTTAGATTATCAATTTTTCTCAAAAGGATAAAAATTTGAATCTCTCTCCTCTATATCCAGAAAAAAGAATCATTCGTTTTGATTACAACGCAATCGAGATGTTGAAATTCCTTTTTTTTTTGAGAACATATCATCATACTCTAATACTACTTATCAAACTTTAAAAATCGGTATTTTTGTAGAAATAAATTGCTTATGGAAGAACATAGTATATGACAAAACTTATTTGTTCTATACAATAGAATTAAGATTGAGAAAAAAAAGTTATGATTTTTATGTGTTTTTTTAGCGAGCAGCAATGCCAACCGATGATACTGATCTTGAAACACGAAAAGATGATTTAAAAGACGACATTGACAATCTAACAAAATCACATGAAAAACAGGTTTTTTTTTATTTATTTCTTTAAAGATTTTCGATTATAATATCCTAACAA